AAAGATTAAAAAAAGACATGTATTTATTCATTAATAAAAGGGAAAGTACACAAGTGAGCAGGAAAAAGACTCCAAAAGTAAAAGCAATCATTGACTTTCATCCCCAATTCCCGGAGGCGCGACCTCATCGTCCCCAGGCTGATCGCCGATCACCTAGCCGGCCGCGGGCTCCTCTAGGAAATACTCCAGATGTTCTTCCAAGTCAGGTCCTCGGGTGGCCTCCGCTGCATCCTCACCGTCAAGCTGCGCCATGGATCTGAGGATGTCCTAGTATTCCTTCAGAAGTTCGGTCAGATCCATTTCGGGATTCTTTGGCCGTAGGGCATAGATGGATTGAATTACCCGTTCAACAGTCTTCTTCTCGATCTCCAACTCTTGTCGCTGTATCTCTCTACTCAGCGAAATGACTCTTCCCTGACTAGCTTGAAGTTCAGCCTCAAGCGTCCACCTTTGCTTCTTGGTGGCCTCCTATAGCTCCCCCATTTCCCGCTCTGCTCGTAAGGCTAGCTAGGAGGTCGTTTTCAACTCTTGGTCTTTCTTGCCAGCCTCCCTGGTGAGTTTGGCCACTGTCCTCTGGAGCTCCTTTATCTCCTCTCCGTGCTTCTCTAGCTCAACCTTTTGAAAATCCACCGTGCAAAAAGTAGCAATCCTTTCATTCAAGTACTGGTTCGCCGAAGCGGTGGATAGGTCTTTCTCTACTTCAGCGGCTTCTAACTCCTGCTTGAGCCGCGCATTCTCTTCTCTCAGTGTGACCATCCACTCGATAGCTCCCAGCTGGACCTTTTGTAAGGACAATTGCATGGAGAGCAAAGCTTGTGAACGAAAAGAATAACAAGTTAGTTTCCTTGCTACTGAAAAGAATAAATGTAAAGTTCTCGCCGAGGACAGCTTGTTCTACCTTACTCAGGTGTTGGATGAATGTGGACATCAGGTCCACAAGATTGGAAGCCACGAACTTCTCAAAAGCCTTCGCGAGCCCGTATTCCAACAGGATAAAAACCATCGGTTGCAGGTGATCCGAAAGCTGCCTCATCGAGTCTAGCACAGGAGTGTTTGTGCCCACACCTCCAGCAGGAGTCTTATCGCCCGCCGGTTCCTTGCTCGGTCTCCTCCCAGGGTTCACGACCTCGCTCTGCTTTGTTCAAGGTGCCCCCAAAGCAATGGAGATGCCGATCACACTCCTGGAAGGCCCTCTCGAGTGGAACGTTTGGTGAGGCTACGACCTCTTGGGCTGAACGCCCAAGCCCTCCGATTCAGACTCTGACTCTTCAGTTCGAAATTGCTTTCGCTTTTTGGACTTTTAGGCCATGGTCTTGTGCTTCGGGCGAACAGCCGAAGGCTGAGGAACCCCAGCAGGTCGTACCGGAGCACCCGCCGTTGTCCCTCCGACGGGGGGACCTCTAGGAGCAGCTCCAGCTAGTCCAGTGGCGCCTACTCGGGGGAAAGTGAACTGCCTCGGTCATGGCGATCTGGACACCTTGAGAGGCATGGTCGCTGCATGCAAACATCGTTAGCAAAACAGTTCGCTGCATGAAAAATCTAAAAAAAAGCTAAGGTTACGAAGCTTACTCGATGTGGTCTCTAGGGTCGCTTCGGAGTTGAAGAAACTGTACTTCAACAAATTTGGGATTGCCACGAGCAATCTTGCTTCGCGACTCTCTTAGGGCAGAAGGCCGAAGGCAATGATCCTGTCCGGATCCTCGAGGAGTATTAACCTGGTCGTTTTGTTAACTGTAAAGAAACAAAGAGCTCGTTAGCGAAGAACAAAAGTAAGTTCACAAACTCAAAAGAAAGGAAAACCTACTTGGCTCCTGAAAATGGCAAATATCATCCTGACGAAAGAAAAAGAACTTCGTCTCGTATGCCCCTATGTTGCTTGGGTAACTATTAACTATGTATTCCCGCTTCAATGATAGGTCGCTTGGAGAGATAGTAGGGATCCTTGTCCTTACTCTTTTTCAGAATGTATGAGCAACCGAACTCTAGTGCGGTTAGCTCACCCAATCCATTTTTGCCACACGCGATGTACGTAGCCACGGCTATCATATACGTTTAGCGTGAGCTGTAATGGTGCAATCCTGAAATGATAGAGGACCGACCTGACAAAAGGGTGGAAAGGGATCAACCCTCCACTCTTGAAAATGTTCTCGGAGATCTCAGCCATCCCTCATGGTGAACTCCGAGCTGTGTGTACCTTATCTCGGAAGACCTCCACGCTGAGAGCGTATTGGTCTACCACCTTCTGAATATCCTCGAAAGTAATCATCGACAAGATCTCTTGAGGGGGACCCGCAGGAGCATCCTACATAGGTGAACTAGTCCCCTCCTCAACTCTGGTCGTTGGGTGGTCCATTCTACTACGGTCTGAAAAAAGCAACATGCAAGGAATCATACACTGTTTCGTACGATGACGTGGAGGAGAGAGTAAAAAAGCTTCCTCCCTTAAACCTTAGAAAGACCCTAACAAAATACTTTTACAGCCACCATCAATGGCTCAAACCCAAGGAGAAGATTTCATCTCCGATCAACTAATAGCAGGCTATCATCGCATGGCAACTATCGAAACCAAGAAATAATAATAAAAGTAGCAAAGAAACCATTCTTACCTCTTAGAATGAGAAGATGAATCCTCCTGCTTCGAATATCAAGCGCACACCAATCTGAAAGACAAAGAACCAAGGCTCACGAAAATTTTTTGCTCTCTCTAAGAAAGTATTGTGGCATTGCTTAAGTGAGCTTGGGGTTTTATAGTGAAGGAAGTGCCGCTTTGGTTTCCAGAAGTCAAATGACGTTTGGGCGGAAAATGCATCTGACCGTTGATCGCGACCACGTGTTGCGAATCAACAGAGAAGAGTGACTGTCACGCTTCGAGAAACCAAATCGTCATTCTCTTCTGTTGAAACACTCAAGCGACGACACGTTTTCCCTCATCCACATTGAATGCGGCCCCATCCGCATTTAATGCTCTGATAGGGAATGTCGTTTCAGCATAGCTCGCATTTAATGCGCATGGCTGACACTTATTGCACACAGGACACGTCTGTCAGAGCAAAAGATATTTCATTAAATGTGTCAGCTACAAAAGTGCAACGGATAACATCTAAAAAGGCCGTTATATATAACACTCTTCGTCTTATGTTGGTCGCGAAGCGACATGACTCTTCGATCTTGTCTTACGACAGTTGCGAAGCGACGTGACCCCTTCGGCAAAAATTCCGCTAAGTACAATAAGGTCGCAAACCTCGGTTGAAAACCAGTCATTGTTATGGCACTAAACATGGTCTAAGAATAGGTCGTTGACCATAAAGAGTAAGCCATGTCAGGTCGCCTACATGGAAACGTTTCTTCGGCCTCTTTGCAGCCAGGTTGGCTCAACCAATATCTCGTCAAGCACATCAAATCAAGGCATGATATGTAGTTTCCAAGGTTCGATTCTCAAACCTTAAAAACTAGGGGACTTCTGTTATGCATAGAAAAGTAGGGCTGACGCAGAGCCTTGTCAGTGTAAGTAGTTAGAGCTTAGGTAAGTCCAGCAACCATTCAAACGCAGCCACGTCGCACGCTGACGCAAGCGGTATGCTCCTGCCAGTGCAGTAGGTGTGCACCAGGCTGGTGAAAGGCTGGTGAAAGGCTGGAGGCAATCCACGTGTCTAATCCCTACAAGAGTCGAGTAAATCACTCGAATAGGTGAATAACGAGACGCAAGGAAGGATTTGCACGGCAATTTGACCCACTCCCTGATTTAGTAATCATTACCTTAGTTGATCCCACTATAAATAGAGGGTTTCTCTCCCGTTTGTGGAATTAGCTGATTTCTCTTTGGAATAGCATATATATTCTCTCTCTCTCTCTCTTGTAATCTCTTATAAATCAGCTTGCTGAACGCGACCTGATCTCATATATTAATACGATACCAGTGGACATAGGTTTCGCTTATTTAAGCATTCGAACTACTTTAAATACCGTTCTTCACTCTTTATTTAGCTCAATACCCCCATACACGTGTGTCTTCTGAGTCAGTTTAGTATTTTTCATGTGTGTTTAATTGATGTCAAAATCACGTACCAACAAAATTATTTTAGGATTTGATCATATAATGGTGGATTAAACGTTATCTTCAAAAATTGTGATTATCTTTTGAAGAAGATTTTTGTGAAGGTCGCATGACTTATCTGCATACGTATATCACCACCATCTTTTTTCTAGAACATCGGCCTATTTATCAATGTGGATTGTCTGTGTTGAAAATAAGTCCAACAGCGCTTTTACCCAAAATAGGTGGTCCGTTCCATTTTTGGATTATCCCAAAATAAAATTCTGACTTTTTTAAATTTATACTCTCCACCTCCAACTCCAACACAAACACGCATCACAAAAAAAAAATAAAAAATAAAAAACTCACTATACTGCCATCCTTTCGTCCTTCGGATCACATATGGTCCAAACAAAAAAAAAAGGGTAAAGTTAACAATATACATATATATTGAATTAATTGATTGATTGATGATCTAGATTATGAATAGATTAGGCATCACGATATGTTATTGATTTAATATAAAATCAAAAAATCTTTTATAATGAAATCAAATCAATAAATATCAATTTTAATAACAGTAATGCATGGTTCATGTAAAATTTATTTATTTTTATATATAATAAAAACTCTCAAACGAACCTCGGTTTGCCAAAATAATTTGGCGTTAAGAAATAAGAAATGTGACATGTCTTGATGCTGGAGAATATTTGGTACCCACGTGCTCCACAGAACTCAATAATTTCATTTTTTTTGTATTTTTTTTAATTAAGGATATACAGACATTTTATTTCATAAAATTAATCTATTAAAATGCAATAAATTAAGTTAATGTTAAACCTTTAAAATGCGACAATCACATGATGACATCCCTTCAACTAGAACCGGCTTTCTTCAGATCCTATAAATAAAGCCGTTGTTGATGCTGCCATTACAAAGAAGAGGCATATCCAATCAGAGTCCTAAACTTGTCTTCTTCCATTTCTGGGAATCTAGAGTCTAGACCATACCCAACACAACACGAAAGCATAAAGAAAAAGATTAAGCAACAATGAAGGGAAGAGAAATAGAGAGTCATCCTTTACTGAGAGGTGGAAGTAGAGTCTATAATTTTACTCATGATTTTTCTTCTGCTCAGATCCAATCCCTTACTGCCATCTGTGAAACTCTCATCCCTTCCTTGCCAATTGATACCATCAACAAGCAACACTCTGATAACGAGGCCATTCGTTCATTCTACAAAGCTTCTGCCTCTCACCCTCCAATCCCTCACCAGGTAATTACATATCTTTCCTTTTCGTTGTTGGTTGGTGGGTTTACTTCTAACTATTAAATATCCCTTTCTCTCTCTCAAGTTTTAATTCCTTTTAAAGTTTCTGATGTGTTCAATCATTTTAAGCACAGCCGTTTCTTATGGTAGTTATTTATTGACGTAAAATCTCTCTCTTTCTTCACTCATTCACCTGCAAAGAGAGAGACAACTTTCTTCTTATCCCCCTTTTTTTTTTTTTTTTCACCAACAGGTAGCAGGATTTTTGCTGAAGAGAGCTCAACCAAAAGCTGTGTTCGTTGTGCGATTAATTTTGACGCTTCTTTCATTCAGATTGGGAACATTATTGCTTTGTGGGTATCATTGTTTAGATTGGAAATGGCCCTTCATTAACAAATTCTCAGAAATTCCCGTAGAAAGGAGAGAAGAAATTCTCAAGAAATGGTCAAGGGGAAAGTTTTTGTTACCTCCAAGAGTAGCGTTTGCGATGATCAAAGTCTTCTGCTCATACGTCTTCTTCTCCGGGGTAACATATTTTTTTATAATCAACAATTCATCTTACCTTTCATTTTCTCTCTGTATTATCTTATATTAGTATATTACTGTTAGAATATATATTTAGTTGTAACATAAAAATATCAAGTTGACTTTCTGTCCCGGCTTTTTGTCTGGTGATAATGTTGATTTTTAGTCTGGTGCTATTATTGACCGTGGCCTGCAACTTTTCTAGGAAAAGATAAAAATGAAACAAGGGGAAAAAAAGATGAAAATATAATTTTAATTATATACCTAACTCTGCCAGTAATGTTTTCTCTAGATACTGGGCTTGGCTTTTGCCTCTAAGGTTTAATCAATTTTTACCTTGGAATCCCCGTGTTGTGCTCATTACTATTTCCTTTTTACTTTTTGTGAGATTCTTCAATTGTCAGAATTGTATGGATTTCAAGTTTTACTTAATTTAAAAATTGAATATCTTGTGAGGTGAGAGAGTTTTGGGTATTAAACTCTCACCACTGTACTTGTGTTTTGATAAATTCTCTTTTCTTCACCTAATTGTATCCCGAAAATTAATTAATTATCAATTTAAGAGAAAGTACGAGAGAAGTACTGATCTTCTCTAATTTTCTGTTTCTTTTATTTCTGCGTTTTCAGACTGATGAAAACTCAGAAAACCCAGCATGGAAAGCAATTGGATTCCAGCCAGACACCAAGGAAACATTGAAGAGACCCAAAGAGGAGAGGCCTCTTCATAAGGGGGTTATAGAAACCATTTATGAAGATGACGCGACACTTCTCCAAAGTCTCAGCCGAAAGGGCCTTGAGGTGACGGAAGTTCCTGAAGAAGACGCCTACGAGATCAAATGTGATGTTGTAATCGTTGGTTCTGGTTGCGGTGGCGGTGTTGCGGCATCAGTTCTTGCAAGCTCTGGTCAAAAGGTACTTGTTCTCGAGAAAGGGAACTACTTCGTGGCTGAAGATTATTCTTCTCTGGAAGGTCCCTCCATGCTTGAGCTATACGATTCTGGTGGAATTCAAACCAGTGATGACGGGAAATTTTTGGTATTGGCTGGATCAACAGTGGGTGGAGGCTCTGCTGTTAACTGGTCTGCTTCCATCAAAACACCAGATTTTGTTCTCAGAGAATGGTCTGTGGATCATAAGATTCCTCTTTTCGGGTGCTCTGACTATCAATCTGCTATGGATGTTGTCTGGAAGAGGATCGGCGTTACGGAAAAATGCAACCAGGAAGGATTTCAAAATCAAGTCCTTCGAAAAGGGTGTGAGAATCTTGGTTTAAAAGTTGAGTCAGTTGCAAGAAATTCATCAGAAGATCATTATTGTGGTTCTTGCAATTATGGTTGTAGAACTGGAGACAAGAAAGGAACTGATACTACTTGGCTTGTCGATGCTGTAGACAATGGTGCAGTGATTCTAACAGGATGTAAAGCTGAGAAATTCATATTGGAAAATAACAATAACAGCAACGCAAGTAAAAGGAAAAAATGTTTGGGAGTGATTGCAACAGCTTTGAATAAGAACATCACAAAGAAGCTGAAAATTAAGGCAAAAGTATCAGTTTCAGCTTGTGGGTCTCTCTTGACACCCCCTCTGATGATATCTAGTGGTTTGAAAAATCCAAATATCGGCAAGAACCTTCACCTGCATCCGGTTCTAATGGTTTGGGGATACTTTCCAGAGTACATGACAGAACTTAAAGGAAAAAGTTACGATGGTGGAATCATCACCTCCATCCATAAGGTGGTTTCAGAAGAATCTAACTTTAAAGCAATCATAGAAACTCCTGCAATTGCACCAGCTAGTTTTGCAGCACTATCTCCGTGGACTTCAGGGCGTGAATTTAAGGAGAGGATGGTTAAGTTTGGAAGAACCGCTCACCTATTTGCATTGGTCAGAGATGAAGGTTCCGGAGAAGTTAAAAGAGAGGGTATAATAAAGTATAATTTAAAGCAGATTGATAAAGAAAATATAAAAATTGGGTTGAGGCTGGCTCTGAGAATGTTGATTGGAGCAGGAGCTGTAGAAGTAGGGACCCTTCGGAGTGATGGGCAGAGAATAAAATGTAAAGGGGTGAAGGAGGAAGAGTTGGAGGAGTTTTTGGACAGCGTGGACGTAGTTGGAGGGCTGAATTCAAGGAACGAGAACTGGGGAGGATATTTTTCAGCACATCAAATGGGAAGTTGCAGAATGGGAGCGAATGAAGAAGAGAGTGGTGTTGATTTGAATGGTGAAAGTTGGGAAGCAGAAGGCTTGTTTGTGTGTGACGGCAGCGTTTTGCCGACTGCAGTTGGAGTGAATCCTATGATCACCATCGAATCTACTGCGTATTGCCTTTCCAAGAATATTGCTAAGCTAATGCAACAAACATAAATCCCATTGCCAAGTAGAGAAGTGATTCTCTCTGGCCTGCTGCTTTGGGAATCCATTTTTCTGTTTATACATGGTGAATGAATAATACAAGCACTTTGAATTTTTTTTAATAATAATATTTCCAGTAGTATAACACATGTCAAAATCATAAATACAAAGCATAGACGTGGCAATTAATGGGAGAATTGGAATATCCCAGGTGGCAACAAAGGGCAGAAGACTTGAGGATCTGTAAGACTGTAACCAACCAACTAAACTCAAATCAAAACTTGTAGTAAATATATAGGCATTAGCATCAACCATTTCTAAATTCAGAAGTAAATGAAATAATTGTCAAATCAAATTTATTTTAGTTAAACACCGTAATGTTTGTTAATTGGGAGATACAAATTTAGAATGCATATCAGTGTAAGAAGAAAAGAGAAGATTGTGTTTTGTTTATTATTCAAGTAAAGTGAAAAGCATCTAAAACCAAACTAAGATATTTTATTTATGTGGGTGTCTCCCACTTAAACTTTGTATGAATTCGGATAATTTTTCAACCAATAATCAGTTTGCTCATTACTGCACTTCAACTAACCAACTTTCCTTTCAGGTAGTGCTGCACTGCTGCTAAGCGAACATTCAAACTATAAAACTTTGTCTTCTTCAACTTTTAGAACACAACAGGAAAAAGAGAAACAAAGATTACGATACAATGAAGGGAAGACAGAGTCATCCTCTACTGAGAGGTGGAAGTAGAGTTTTTAGTTCTAGTCATGATCTTTCTTCACCTCAGATCCAATCTCTTGCTGCTATCTGTGAAACTCTTATGCCTTCCCTCCCATTTGATATCATCGATGAACATCACTCAGATAACCAGGCCCTACTTTCATTCTACAAAGTTTCTGGCTCTCAGCCGCCAATCCCTCACGAGGTAAACTAGATTTCTTGTTCTCAGTTTTTTTTTTTTTTTTTTTCTCTCCTTTTTATAGAGCTTTTTCTATCCTTTTCTGATACAAACTTATCTTTTTTTTAAAACTCGTCTAAATGGGAAACAGGTAGCAGAAATATTGGTGAAGAGGGGTCAACCAAAAGCTGTGTTGGTAGTGGGCATGATTCTGACACTTCTTTCATTCAGATTGGGAACACTATTGCTTTGTGGGTATCTTTGCTTAGACTGGAAATGGCCCTTCATTCTCAAGTTCTCTGAAATTCCTGTGGAAAGGAGAGAAGAAGTTCTCAATAAATGGTCAAGGGAAAAGCGTCTGATACCTCTAAGAGTAGCGTTTGTGATGATCAAAATCTTCTGTTTATACACCTTCTTCTCCAGGGTAATGATGCTAATTTACAACTGACTTCTTACCTTTCATTTTTTATTTCTTGTATTAGACTATTATATTGAGGGTGTCCATAACTCACTTTATATCCCTGTAAGGTAGGATAAGGTGTGTAAATTAATGCTGAAGAAAACAAAAAGATCATTCTTTTCAATTTATCAACTTGACTTTCTTCGCTGGCTTCTGTCTAGAGACAAAGTCCTTCGTTGAGAGTTTAAATCTAATTTTTTTTTTTTTTTTTTTTGTTTTTTAATTTCTCCATTTGCGCAGACTGATGAAAACTCAGAAAACCCAGCGTGGGAAGCAATTGGATATCATTTAGACACCAAGGAAACATTGAAGAGACCCAAAGAAGAGAGACCTCTTCAAAAGGGGATTATAGAAACCATGTATGAAGATGACTTAACGCTGCCGCAGTGTCTCACCCAAAAAGGCCTTCAAGTTACTGAAGATCCAGAAGACAATGCCTATGAGATCAAATGTGATGTTATAATCGTAGGCTCTGGTTGTGGTGGAGGAGTTGCGGCCTCAGTTCTTGCAAGTTCTGGTCAGAAAGTGATTGTTCTCGAGAAGGGGAACTACTTTGTGGCTGAAGACTATTCTTCTCTGGAAGGCCCCTCTATGTTTGAGCTATATGAATCTGGTGGATTTCAATCAACTGTCAATGGGAAAATTATGATCATGGCAGGCTCAACAGTTGGTGGAGGCTCTGCTGTGAACTGGTCTGCCTCCATCAAGACACCAAATTCTGTTCTCAGAGAATGGTCTGTGGATCATAAGATTCCTCTTTTCGGGAGCTCTGACTATCAATCTGCAATGGAAGTTGTCTGTAAGAGGATCGGTGTTACAGAAACTTGTACCGAGGAAGGATTTCAAAATCAAGTTCTTCGAAAAGGGTGTGAGAATCTTGGTCTAAAAGTCGAATTGGTGCCGAGGAATGCCTCAGCAGATCATTACTGTGGTTCTTGCAATTATGGTTGTAGAACAGGAGAAAAGAAAGGGACTGATAGTACTTGGCTTGTCGATGCTGTGGACAATGGTGCTGTGATTCTTACAGGATGCAAAGCTGAAAAATTCATATTGGTAAACAACAACAATGGCAGTAGAAGAAAAAAATGCTTGGGAGTGGTTGCAACAGCTTTGAATAAGAATATCACAAAGAAGCTGAAAATTAAGGCTAGAGTAACAGTTTCAGCTTGTGGGTCTCTCTTGACACCCCCTCTAATGATATCTAGTGGTTTAGTGAATCCAAATATCGGCAGGAACCTTCATCTCCATCCCGTCCTTATGGGCTGGGGATACTTTCCAGAGCAAATGACAGAACTAAAAGGCAAAAGTTACCAAGGAGGAATCATCACTTCGATCCATAAGGTGGTTTCAGAAGAATCCAACGTTCACGCAATCATAGAAACCCCGGCACTTGCACCGGCTTCTTTTGCAGCACTATTTCCCTGGACTTCAGGGCGTCAATTGAAGGAGACGATGGTTAAGTACGGAAGAATTGCTCACCTTTTTGCATTGGTTAGAGACCAAGGTTCGGGAGAAGTTAAGAGAGAGGGTACAATTAAATATCGGTTGAAGCAAGTTGATAAAGAAAATCTTAGAGTGGGGTTGAAGCAGGTTTTAAGAATTTTGATAGGGGCAGGAGCTGTAGAAGTGGGTACTCACCGGAGTGATGGCCAGAGCATTAAGTGTAAAGGAACGAAGGAGGAAGAGTTAGAGGAGTTTTTGGACACCGTTGATGCAGTTGGAGGACTGTCGTCTAAGGACGAGCTCTGGAGCTTATATTTTTCAGCCCATCAGATGGGAAGTTGCAGGATGGGTGTTAATGAGGAAGGGAGTGCTGTTGATTTGAACGGTGAAAGTTGGGAAGCTGAAGGCTTATTTGTGTGTGACGGCAGTGTTCTGCCAACCGCAGTCGGCGTCAATCCAATGATCACAATTCAATCCACTGCTTATTGCATTTCGACAAAGATTGCAGAGTCATTGCACAAAGATAGACCATTGGCACAGAGATGATTTGCTCTTGTAAATCATTCGCCTCTTTATTTTAAGTTATGCATTAAGAAAATAATAAAAATGATTATTATCATTATCATTATCCTTTTTCTCGTGCCATTTCCGCTGGATGAAAATACAATGCAAAAAACTATACAATCTCGCTAGAAAGATTTTCTCAAGTCTTTATTTCATTTCCGGGCAAGATAGTTCTTTACTCACAACTTTAAGAACTCCAATTTTGGAGACAAACTGGGAATTTAATACCAAAATGAAAAGAGAACTAAGTGAAAGCAAAAGATATTAGCAGAAATAATCGGAAGAATTTGATTGAGGTATAAAATATCCCAACAAACACAACTCTTTTCACCACGGAACAGTCAATTTTGAAAGGCAGCAGAAGAATGTTTTCTCCCTCCTGCTTTATCATCGCAAAAAGATTCAATGGGATTTTTTTCATCAAAATTCGTAAGAATTCTAAAAATTATGAAGAATAGGAACAACAGGCTTTGTATCTTTGATTTACTCATTTAGCAATTGATTTGACTGCCTTCTCAGCAGCATCATCCAGATCTTCGGCTGTTACTAGTGTCATACCACTTTCCTGTAGAGCCATTAGTTAAAATGAGTACCCATTAAAATTGTCAAGTCAAATTACTTTTGTTCATAAGTTTCATAGGAACAAATTTCTCCTTCAAAAGAGGTTTCATATCAGATAAATTCTACATTTACCTTCAGTATTCTCTTTCCCTGGTCAACATTGGTACCTTCGAGACGAACCACCACTGGTACTTTTAGGGCAACCTTGTATACAAGACCAAACAAAAATAATTCTGTTACTATAACTCCTGAAGATAATTGAAATATTCAATGTTGGCCATCACCAACAAATTCTCCATTGTTCTTTCCATTTTCATTTTATTGGAGAAAATAGGTCAAAATCTTTAATTCCTCCCCCTTCAATTTCATTACCACTTACTTCAAAATTAGAATTCATTGAAAAAGTAGGAAAAAAAAAAAAGGTGAGAATTGTAAGTGTTGTTACAGAATGAGTTGATGACCGAAAGTACAATTCACCTGTTGAAAAGGGGAGATAGTTTAAAAAGCAGAATTGTTTCTGTTTATTAATGAGATCTGAACCTAAAACCTGTCTGATATAATTTCAACCATTTAAAATGGTAGAAATTGGTTGGAATGAAATCCAAAATAATTTAATGCACTGCTCACCTGTTTGGCAGCATTGACAATTCCACTCGCAATTACATCACATTTCATTATTCCTCCAAAAATGTTCACCAAAATTGCTTTGACTTTATCATCGGAAGTTAATATTTTGAATGCCTCAACCACCTGTTCCACATAATTTGTGAATCAAATAATGAATTAGTTAGCAACAGATTGCACAGTGATGGGACAAAGAAAAAAAAAAACTGGTGGATGGTCAGACAAGCCTGCTTATTCAAAATCATTGTCTGAGCAGGATAGTGACATGACAAAAGCAGTAAAAACCGTCTTGAATAGTTACCTGCCCTTCAGAAGCATTCCCACCTACATCTAGAAAATTGGCAGGAGTTCCCCCATGTAATTTGATTATATCCATAGTAGCCATAGCTAATCCAGCACCATTCACCATGCAACCAATTTCACCATCTAAGCCTATGTAATTTAAATCCGCTTTGGCAGCAGCCACCTGTTTGGAGAAAAAGAGCACAACCAAAGAATGATGAATATAGCACCACAACACTGTTCAGTTACTCTTATGCACTTAAGAATCTTTGTAATTGACAAAAATTTCATCTTCTAATCAATTCTTAGGTTGCAAATCAATATCACAAGCAGTTAAGAATAATCATTCAATGTGAATAGTAAGATAAGCAATAAATGTATCCCAACCTCTCGAGGATCCTCCTGTGATGGATCACGCATAGCAAATATCTCTTTCTGCCGGAAGGCAGCATTATCATCAAAGTTCAACTTAGCATCAGCAGCTACCAACTGTTTGCCAGAAGTCTCTGCAAGGGGATTAATCTGTTCCAAGGAATAAAGATTCGCACTAAGATATCCATTGGTAAACATAAACAACTAATGAAGAGATTATATGTCACCCAGGCATATGACAAATAGCACTTGTAACCCACCAAACAAAAAATATACAGATAAGGACAGTTCAGATATAAAAATGTTTATGCTCACTTCCAGTAATGTGCAGTCAGACTTGCAAAAGAGTTCATACAATTTCTTCACTTGTTCAATAGCGTCCTTTCTATCAGCAACCTTGGGTGCCAAACCATCTACAACCTTACCAGCATCTTCATCTGTGATTCCTTTGAAAACATCAATAGGGACCTATCAGAAATAAAGATGCGTCAGCTATACCAATATAGAAACTTGATGGTCATGCTAAATCAGCAAAGATGAAGATGAGGATATAACCTTAACAATCATGTCAGGGTATTTCTCAGCAAGATCTTCAATGCTAGTTCCTCCCTTGCTACAGCCAATTATTAGCTGAAAGCAGGTATGGAAACATCTTTAATATAAAACAAAGTAAGAATTATCAATAAGAGGCTGACAGCATTGACTGAAATAGAGATGATTAATGTCCTTTCAAAAAGAATATAAAGGTAACACACTAAGTTTGGTAACATACTGGACCAGCAGTATTACGATCCAAAGTGATAGCAAAGTACATCTCATTGACAAGAGACAACTTTTCACAAAGATAAACCTGTAAGCAAAAAACATATATCTATTAAATGAGATTCAAATAAATAATAGTTACATATCCATTTAAAGATGAAAACTTCTATACGTAACTATGCTGTTCACAACAAAATCTAAAATAAAACCTTCATTCACTGTTAATTGATTTCATATATCTCAATGCTTGCTAAAGATACAATAAATAGTAATTCGCTTAAAACATAAATATCAATTATTGATCACAATCATCCTCAAGCACTAGATATAAGCCCAAGAAAATAAAAAGTAGAACTGCATGAAATATGAATATTTTGTTTCCTAGTAACACTGCTAATATGAGCCAAGAGTGTTTGCTGAAATGTAAGTGGGAAGCCAACCTTGCTGACAATTTTGCCTTGTGGACCAGTTTGTTTGGTAACAAGTATCTGCCCAAGCATCTTTCCTGTAAGCAACAAAACCATAAGATGCATATTGTACAATATGAAAAAAAGATATCAGCGTATAAAGTCAAAGAAGCACAATTGAAGTTTCTTACAATAGAATAAACAAAATATTATAAAAAAACTCCCAGAAGCAGAAATCTCAGAAAAGGAATATTTCTTACACAGAAAGGGGAAATAATAAACCTACAGCAAGTAATAACTGTAAATTAACATGTACGCATAAAAATAGTTTAGTCCCCAAACCAGAAAGCAATCTGAAATGACCAGTTGAGGCATTGAACCAAATTGGTCATCCAAAATTCTCTTGGGTTGATTCAAATTGATTAGTAAGGGTCTACTTTTCTAATCTTATAATGCATGAGCTGACGTGTTACAACATGAACCTGGGATCAACTGTTCCTTAAAAGGAGAAAGGAAATTTTATTTATAGTTGATATTTCCAAGTACAGGACATTAGGCAAAGAGCCAAAAGTACTCAACTTCAGTCCCAGTACAGTAAGATGAGAGTTCAAGAACTGATTACGGAAGGTCATGTAAGAATAGCATCTCATACAAGAACTTCTTTATAAATTGCAAACATCTCCTATATTATAGCCTCATCCAGTGCAAACAGGCTTACAATAGAGCATAAACAAACCCAAAAAGAAAAAAAATATGTTATAACTGAAGAAAATAGACATTACCCGCTATATCTTCAACCTGATCAGCCTTAACAATGTGAACTCCACCCTTAAGACCGGATTTAAATGTTCCCAAACCTCGCCCACCAGCCAAAATTTGGCTCTTAACCACCAGCTGCACCAACCCAACGTTAGCATTACTAACTTGTCATTACAGCTTACTTTTTAATAAATTCACAAAAATTAATAATCCACCATATTCATTATTTCAAGAGTTAAAAACTTTTCAAACAATTACCTCACTTTCATTAGGAAAAACATCCTGAATAGCCTTTCTGACTTCCTCAACAGAAGAAACAGCCACACCTTTCGGGACATTGACTCCATATTTGCCCATTAACTCGGCTCCCTGATTCAAAAGACTAAAAGCTATCACTTTTCACATTTGATCAGAACAAAAACCAACATTTCTAAACAGGAAAAATACCTAAATACTTAACGATCACAAAGATCTAAAAGAGGTGCGCCGTTTTGTATATTGTCAGAAAAGCTCCCATTTCTTGGTAGGGAGACCAAAATTTTAAAAAATAAAATAAAAAACAAAAACAGTAAAGAGAATATTATTTGAAGTGCGTAAGTATAATCTATATGAGGAAGGTAAGGGCGAGATAGGGAACCTGATACTCGTGGATGTTGAGACGGCGGAGCTGGTGGTGCTGCCATTTGCCAGCGACGGAGAGAGAACGAGAGACAAGCTTGTTCAACAATCCTCTCACCATCACGCTATAATTGAGAAGATTGCGGAAAGTGAGATCTACGCCTAAGGAAACCCTAACGGAGAGAAATAGAGTATGTCGCGTTTGCCGATCAAGTCAGCGAGCAGGAAAAAGAGGGGAAGGAGGTGAAAGGAAAGGACCCTAGAGATTTTTTTTAATATTTTCATTTATTCCCTTTCTTTTATGTTTTTATACGAATCTACCCTTTTTTTTTTTTTTCTTTTAATAGGTAATAACAATTTGGCTTTAAAAAACAATGTGTTATGAGAGTATGGTAATTAATTTAATATTATTGTTGTCAAGGAAAATTTTTTTAAATTACATTTGATGGGAGAATTTTTATAATAAATGTTATTTTTAATAATTCTCTTCCGTTAAAAAAAAAATAATAATAATACATATATATTTAAGGGTATCTCTCTATCTCACATGTTGGACACATGTTTTAGTTTTGTTGAGACAATTAAAGGCAGAAGCACTAACAAATGGAATAATCATATTCAAGGCAGAGTGTAAATAACATATATTTATTAATTATATTTTGAATAGTCATATAGATCTTTTCTTTAAGAAGTCTTATACCAAAATTGGGTGTTTTAAAGGAAAATCCATAAGCACGTATGGTGGTTATTCTTTTATTTTGAAATGGAATAAATGATAGAGAAGCTCAACCTTTTATGATAAAGATTAATTTATTGATTTTTGAAGAGCAAATTGATGGATCTATTTACATACAATCATAAGCGCATAAGCAGACGCTTCCAGTCTTGTCTTCTTGGCAGAATCCATAACCATTAGGATAATCACGATTGCACTGCTCCTTGCAAGCTTGAGTAGTACCAGGACAAGGCCATGATGTTACACACTTTTCACCCTCTTCTTCTTCACATACCACCACCCCATCTTCAACTATCACCATTACCAACACCATCAGGCCTGAACTTTGTTTTGCAATCAATATTAATATCAGTATTGAGATAGATAGAACACAGACCTGTTGCCAGCAATAGGAGCAGGAGAATACAGGAGATCGTACATAGCTTTTCCATTGCTTCTACAACTATCTTCCCTTCAACGCTTGCACTTCAACTTTCTGAATACTTTACATTTCTCAACCCAGTTTTTATTTATAGTACATTATTAGATATTAAAAATAGTAATTAATGAACTTTTTCATTTTATTTAAGGAAATACTTGAATTCTTTTAAAAAGAAAATTAACATTTATTACTTACCATTTGGATATCATGATATCATATCTTTATTACTGTATGTTGTTACCGAATTTGGATGAGGATCTGATTTTCAAATTATACATAAGATATCACACATTAATGATCATAATTGAATTCTTGATATGGTACACTCAACTGAATAGCCTCTTATGGTATTTGTGATTATCTTCGTACATTTCGTATGCCCAAACACTAGTTCAGCTGTTAAGAATAATCTGACAACTTTTGCATAGATGGCAAACAAGAGGGAGATTCAGGGTAGATTGAAAGAAAAATGTATAATTTATATGTGATAGAAACTGTTGAGTTAGTATTAGTTGAGCCAGCAGATAAATATGCCTTCAGTTCTGGTTAGTTAGTTTTGTGTTCCTCAACTCATTAGCAGATGGTTTTATCCTGGTATTGTTTCATTGCGGTGAACCTTGAAAACAAGTTTATCAGAAACAGAAAGTTAAATGACTGAAACAGTTAAGAATATAGCATGAATTTTCGATAAGAGAAGTCACCATTGCATTGGAATATGAACATTACAATTATCTAACCAAAATTGGTCAAATTTACATATAATAATGGATCTTAAATTCAAGATCCAGAACCATCCATAAATCATAAGTGGAACTGATTTTGCAAGAAAATACATTAACTTTTGGTCCTAAGGATATTTCTTTCGCCTCTAACCTTCGGTTTTGCACATTGTATTGTAGCCTCCAAACAAGACTGACGCCAAAGAGCCTAACTCAATTCAACCATCTAGCACTGTTTTAGAGCACATTGGATTCTACAGCATAAGCGACACTAGATCTGCCCAATAAGTCTTTAGTCAAACAGCTTCAATCTACCAAATCATGTTACTCTTAATTATTAAACCACACTTATTATATGCATGCCAAGGAACTACAATCACAATACATAAGAAAAACAATTATACAGGAAAAGCTGAACAAGTGAAGAAAATGATCAACTAAAAACAAGCACAACATAATTTTTTTCCTTGAAAGTTTAGATTGGATAACAGCTTTATACTAATAACGAGATACAGCTTCCTTATTGATCCATGAAGGCCTCTTTGCTTTGTAGTAGAAATGTGCAATCATTTGGACCAACTCATCTGCTGTGCGAAACTCTGCAAAGACCATCATCAAATGAAACTTACCAGAGAAGAAAAAAAAAAAAAACCCACTTAGGGCAAAATGAACAAAACCATGCTCCACATCACTCTAAAGAGAGCAAACTTTGTCTTACCTTTCTCTCTGTACATGATCCTGCTTCCCAATAAAAATAAAATTTGAGGGCATTCTTTAACTTTAATAGCATATGCCAAATCTCTCTCAATATTGATGTCTATCTTGACTGCCTGTTTCCAAGAAATTTCAAGGATGTTACAATCAGCATAGAGACAAGTGAAAACAATCCGAGGAAATCCAAGGCCAGCTAAGTTTTTAATGGCTAAGGTTACCAAGTACTATAAGTAAAAATATCAGGAAAATTTGACAAATAGAAGTACACAATACCCGAGGAGGTAGTCGATCTTTGGCATTCCAATATACTTTGATTGCCTTCTCCAGCTCTTTCAAAGTTTTCCAGTTATCAGTTGCCCTGTTAACGAAACCATGATGAAATGTTATCTCATATGCTATAAGAATTTGTTAAAGGAATGTAAAGTTCAGAAATTCTCAAGGGATAATTTCTTAATCAAATATATTTTTCTTCTCTTTCACTATTTTTTTCCATAAACAAATCAGAATATATAGATCACCTTGAGGTGGAAACAATTAAAAGCATATCCTCCAAGGACAAGTTCAACATAGATCAAATCTGCTAACAATCTACTGGCCAATTAGATGGAGCATAAGAATGCAACCTTCAAGACAATCAGTTTACTTATTTCGACCAACAAGAAATGAACAAGATGATTATACTGAAGCTAATAAGAGACAAACTACATGGGCACAAGCCTACAATCTACAATACCTATGAAAATTTTGCAGAAATTGCAATTAGGCATAGTAAATCATACAGACACGAACTAGCAGCACAATGCACTTTTAACCACTTGATTCTTTAAACACATATCTACCATCATCGGCAATTTTACACAAAAACTAAAACATAGATTTTACACATTCTGCCCACTTCTAATGGCTCATTTTGACATGAATTTCTTATACAACCACCATTCTAACTATTTCCAGTCAAAAAATACTTTTGGTTCCACATTGTTACCATTTGTGTTAAAACATATCCACCATTATCTTTCAGAATTAATATAAATGGTTTATTAAAAGGAAGTTACCTATTGTATCTCTCGAAAACAAGAACGACCAGCGGGCTTGGATGGAAAGCAAAGCTCTCCCACTCCAGACAGTTGATCTCCTTCACCCAGCTCTCATCAATTTCTCCTTCCCAATCAATCTCAAAACCATCTTCCCCAACAACATTCTTGATAGAATGTTGCTCAAAATACTCAGAAGCTCTAATTCCCCACCCAACATCAGCATCTAATGGCCAGTTTGGATCATCTTCCTCGACCACCATCTTCTTTTTCCTTCTCCCTTTACCAATACCTTCCTCCTCCTCTTCCTCTTCATCATCATCATCATCATCATCATTTTCATCATCACTGGTTTCCAAATCTACATCCTCTACAACTCTGTCTTTCAGCACATTCTCCTTATTCTCTAAAACTTCAGAGTTCTGCTGTCTAATAGATGCAAAGGTACGCTCAAGCGAGTCACGCACAAATTCTTCAACCGCAGCCGCTTCACTCTTACGACCCCGCCTTGGCTTTCTTGGGATAGTTGTTGGGAAAATTATTTCACCATCAGGATTTTCATCTTTGCCTTCAGAAAGTTCTGTTTTTCGTTTGATCCTTCTAGTTTTCGGTTTACTTCTGGGCTTGGAGCCAGGTTCAGGGTCAGGTTTTGAGTCAGAATTTCTTGAAACCGCAACACAACTAAGAGATTTACGAGTGTAACTACGATTTCCGAAAAAGGGGAACATGGGTCCAGAAAAAGAAACACGAAGAGTGGAGACCGAGTTTGGCATAACGAAACTCTGTAAGGTAAACATTTTTCCCAACACAAAAGTAGAATTCAATCGGCACAACACAGAGGTGAGTTGCAGATTATAAAAATCTATCACCCATAAAAATTTTCAGAATTTTGTTGTCTCATATCCAATTTAACCAGCTGCTAAAGCGGTTCACCTGAACCTGCTACCAACGAAAGTAAATACTACAATTTAATAAAACGGAACAGCGAGAAAAGCTTCATAATCATGGAAAATTCATGGCCATTAAGATTAAAAATAAAAAAAATAAAGTAATTTAAGCATTCAGTCTACTCAACTGGTAAGAAGTTATGTTTTTGGTTGTGTTTAGGTTGAGATGAAAATTATAACTGTGATTGAAGAAGCATGGTAAACAATAAACCTCTAAGGCTGGTAGTAAAGCTCGAGTGGTTCAGAAATGATTGTAAAAGAGAAACAAAGAGTGAGAGACTAAAGAGCGATACGGATTCTTCTCGTTCACCATGGCGAGGACTGAACCAGTGAACAAAAGAGAAAATTTAGCTGCCCGGTCCCCCCAAGTCTGCATTTAAGAAAATGGCCTTGATACTGTTCATAAAATATTTTATAATTTAGAGAAGATGACGTGGCATAGTTAGGATTAATTAAACACGTAAAATGGGTTAAAATGAAAAGATTAAAACATATGTGGGCCGAATCAGAAATAATGAAAGTTTTCAAAATTTGAAATTTCGCAAAACAAGCCCCACACTCTATTCACGTCGCTTAATCGAAATTCATCAGTTGAAAACGCGATTTCTTGAACGAAAGGGAGACGCGATTTTTTCCGATCCAACACCAATTGATTTGCACCCTAAATCAATTTCTTGACCCTAAACCGAATACAGTCGCGATTTTCGGCATATAGTCGCGTTTTCGATCGATTTGTTGAACCCTAAGAACGATTTCAACTATAAACAGATCTCTCGCGATTTCCGGCGATACAGCCCATATTTCCAATCCAAACTACAAATTTTCACACCAAATTCAATCCAAAACCATGGCTGCACCTCACAATGACGACGACAACCCAACGCCATTCGAATCCTAGATTCCGGTGGCTCAAGCAGTTCAATGGCTGCTCCGGTCGATCATCTGACCATTGAAGTGTCCACACGTAGAGGAGACGCCGGCGGCACAAGAAAGATGAAGAACCAGCACAGGGGTCTAGACGAGGAGTCGCGAGACTTCAGGCCAGAGGAGGATTCCGGAGAGAATGCAGGCCAGGAGGTGGATTCCGCATAATTCAGGGCAGGAGGAGTCCCGGAGGATCCAGGCGACGAGGAGAAGGCCGGCGAAATAGGTACGTAGTTTGGGATTTTGCTTGTAATTTCGCTTAAGCGATCATTAGTATCGCTTAAGCGATTATTCGTTTTTACCCATGATCGCAGCAATGATCGCTTAAGAATCATGAGTGTTTACTCTTGTTGGCTTAAGCGATCTTAGGTCTGGGCAGATCACATTAAGAGATTCTCAGTTAACTTTTGATCGCTTAAGCGATTTAAAATCGCTTAAGCGATCTTGCATGAGACAGTAAAGATCTCTTAGCGATCCATGATCGCTTAAGAGACTACATGGTTTTGGTTTATTTTTGTTGATGACATTTTATTTATATCGATGGGCAGATTGTGCGGACCGTAAGCTGTAGAGAGTACGAGTTGGAGCCTATAAGTGAGAAGGTACCCTACTTCCCTGCAAGGGTGACGGTGAGTCGAGCTGGGAGGTTTTTGACAGAATAGGGCCATTTTAGCTAGAATGAGGCATGGTGAAAGAGATTTTGGTGACACTTGTTTGGTCAGTTTTTAAGAATTGGAAAAAAGTGGAAAAAGTCATTTTGGGGCAGGAGTGCATTACATGTTGATGCACTCAGTAAAAAGCAAGAAAAAAATAATGTGTGGTTGTGGTGAGGGAAAGCCACTCGGTTTGGTATGATGGAGTATCGTTGGTGACGGGCTTAGGATGCGGGAAAGTGCCAACTAAGGCGGAGGCAGACGCAGTAAGGAGAGTGCGGGAGCCATAAACTTTTGTAAAAAGGTTTTGAAAGGGGCAAAGTCTATTACAGGAAAAGTTTAGAGAAGAGGCTATCTACAGTTCGGTTTATTGATGCAGAGAAGATAAAAGTGTGCTTGATATTGTTTTTGCATTCTATTTTATTGGCTGGTGACTCAACAAAAGCTATTGAGAAAGATTGGTTGCTGTTTGTAAGCGACTTGGAGTTCTTTATTCTTATCCGTGGGGACGGATATCATTTGAGCGAACCATCAAGAGCCTGAAAAAAACAACATGGCGTTAAGCATGCCGAATGGGGCGGGAAGGCTAAACCAAGCACGTATATTTTTTTTGGCTTCCCATGGGCAATGCAGGTAAATATTAATAGCTCTATGTTATATTTTTTATAATATGTGTGTTTGAATAATGACATGGACTGTTTTTTTACATGTAGGCTTGGATGTACGAGGCCATCCCTGTCTTCCCAAGGCGGGGGGAGGAGCAAGAATGTAATGTGCAACAGCGATTTCCTAGGATGTTGCGGTGGCATGTCGAGAGCTGTAACCATTGGGATTATGGCCAATTAGAGATTGAATTCAGCCTGGGGTAAATTGAAGGATTAAGCTTTTGAATATGCGTTGGTTTTTTATTTTGCTTCAATCTGATTGATTTTTTTTCTTATTGCAGGGAGTCGTCCGCCCTTTTTGACCCCTATTGGGGATGAAGCGGAGAGGACTATGTCACATCTTTCAAAGCAATGGAGGATGAAAGGGATAACAGATAGACCGCCTGATGCGGGACCTAAAGGGGTCCCGCATGTGATGGCAGTTGCAGGGCCATGGCTTGACAATGTCGTTGATGCTGAGGATAATGAAGCTCGGGGCCGAGGATGAGGAGAAGAGGGAGGAAGAGGTTCGATGCCTCAGCAAACCGGTACACAAGTACCGCTTTGCCGAGACATCGGCGTAGGGAGAATGAGTTGTTGACCTCTCACGGCCTTTTTGAGAGTTTTACAACAGCCGTTTATGCAAAGCTTGAGAAGATGGAAGAAACAATGAAAAGGGTGGAGAAGAAAGTGGATAAGGTGGGAGGGAAAGTACTAGAATGGAGGCGAAGTTGGTACAATGGGAGGAAGTTGGTGGAGAATTAAAGGCGGTTGAAGTGCAAACTGGCTTAAAAGAGAGAGCCGAAAGAGCAAGTTTGTGAAATCGCCTTACATGGTAGTGACACAGGTAAGAAAGAAAATGAAGAAACAAATGAGGAACAACCAGAAAGGGAGGAGGTTGAGGAGGTTGGTGGTGGAAGTGGGGCGGTGATAATGGAGGTTGAGGAGGTTGGTGGTGGAAGTGGGCGGTGATAATGGAGGAGGGAGTTGGGAGGCAAGGAGGGGATGTAAATTGGAGGAAGGGGGAGAAGTGGGGAAGGGAAATTGGACTCAATGTCGATTTGTATAGGCCAATAGAGGAAAGGAAAAAACTCTTTATGCCTATTACAATGGATCGGGAATTGATGGCCATATAAAGTGTAGACAGGGGATTATCCCCGGGAATGGTTTAAGAAGTTTTTGACGATGGGACGTGGCTTGAGGACTCGGTGAGTTATGTTCACTTAATTTTCCTTATTTTTTCCTGTGTTTTCCATACTTATCTTGTTTTTTTTATGTGATGTAGCACATCGATGAGATATTGGCGCTGATGAGGCTACGCAGACTAGTGATGGTGATCTGTTGTATCCTGACTGTGCTATCACCGATGTGGCGTTTGGGCAAACCTTGTTTCGGCATATCGGTCTTTAATTAAAAATGCCGTTGCTAGTGGTGTAGCAAAAGGACCGAAGCGAAAACGATTGGCTGACCAGAGTCGGATTGCATCCCTGATGATTTCCGTTTTGATGATAGATTATGCAGTACGTAAGGGGGGATCGGCCCAATATGGCCACGGTTGGCCTTTGTTAAAAGAGTGTACTGCATCATCCTCGTCAAACAGATGCACTGGATAGCAGTCGCTGCGCATCTAGAGGAGGGGTGTCTGAAGATCCTTGACGTGCAACCCAACCATTTGTCGAGACAAGCAGTTGGAGGTCGAGTTGGAGCCACTGTCCAGGTTGTTCCCGCGGCTGTTGCGTGACAGCGGGATGTTTGGGCAGTTGGGTGATCAGGTACTAACCGGAAAGTGGCGAATTCAGCGCTCTACCTGCCCAATAAATGAGTCAAGGTAAATTTTGTTTAAAACTAACTTACATAATACATGGTTCTATAAGTTTATTATAATGGTAATGTCTTCTTCCTATTGTAGCGCTGAATGGGGCATGCCCTGAAATTTATTCAGTTCGCATGACCACCAGCCCGATGGACAGCTTGAATGACGAAACATGATAGAATGTCGGACGCTGGGCTGTCGCCTGCTTCCATGGCGATGGGATCCGTTTTGTGATGCCCAGAACCCAATCAAGGGTATGAAAGTTGGACGCTGAATTGTGTAGTTTATGTGATGTTATGTTCATACTTGGGTTTTTTGAGTTGAGTTTATGTGATACCTGTTATAATTATCAATAGGGTGTATATACATGTTCATTTTCAATGGTGTTTTGATGTGTACTTCAGAACTGCTTATTTAATTTGTTCTCATTGGCTTGGCTATTTTCTAATTCATGCCTTTCTCATATTATGGTGTTTTACACTGCAGGTCACTAAGATGGAATGGTCAATCTCCACAGAAAGTCAACCGAGGCACCATATTAGCGCCCCTTGTATATATCATCTTGAATTTGTTGTAGATATCATGTAAAGAATTGGATCTGATATTTGGGATATATTTTTGTTTGTCCATATATAATTCATCAGCAGTTTCAATTTACTATGTATGGTTTGTCCATAAAAGATCATATGTCTTTTAGTAATATCGCTTAAGCGACACGAGAGGTCGCTTAAGCGATCATTCGTATTTAGTAAAACGCTTAAGCGATCGAGAGGTCGCTTAAGCGATCATAGCCTGGGCAGATGTCATTCTGCCTCGGAAAAGATCGCTTAAGCGATCATAAATCGCTTAGAGATCATGAGTCTTTTAGCAATTATCGCTTAAGCGATACAGGTGGTCGCTTAAGCGATCATAGTCTGGGCAGTGGCATTCTGCCTCGAAAAGGATCGCTTAAGCGATCAGAAACGCTTACGCGATCATTCGTATTTTAGTAATAATCGCTTAAGCGATACGTGGTCGTCGCTTAAGCGATCATAGTCTGGGCAGATGGCATTCTGCCTCGGAAAGGATCGCTTAAGCATCAGAAATCGCTTAAGCATCATGGGTCTTTTAGTAATAATCGCTTAACGATACAGGTGGTCGCTTAAGCGATCATAGCAGATGTCATTCTGCCTCGGAAAGGATCGCTTAAGCGATCATAAATCGCTAGCGATCATGCGTCTTTTAGTAATAACGCTTAAGCGATATGGTGGTCGCTTAAGCGATCATAGCAGATTTCATTCTGCCTCGGAAAGGTCGCTT